CCCACATTGAGTTGCGTAATCGCGTGTCGAAGGCGGCAGCGGCATTCGGGAAGCTAGAGTACCGAGTGTGGAACAACCATCAGCTTAGCATTGGCACGAAGCTGATGGTGTACAAATCCATGGTACTGTCCGTTCTTCTATACGGCAGTGAAACGTGGACGATGTACCGTCGGGATGTGCGATATCTCGAGCGGTTCCATCAGCAGTGTGTGCGACGAATTCTGCGGATCGGCTGGGGCGCCAGAGTTGCAGACACGGAAGTGTTGCGCCGAAGTGGGATGTATGCAGTGGACTGCATACTTTTACTGCGACACCTGAGATGGCTCGGTCATGTGAGCCGTATGGATTCGACGCGAATACCGAAACAACTTTTATACGGTCAGCTGAGTATAGGGAAGCGGCATGCTGGGAAACCCAAGTTACGTTACCAGGACATGATTAAAGTGAGCCTCACACGTTCTAATCTTGATTGCAGATCATGGGAATCGAAGGCGGTTGATCGGCGTGCATGGCGCGATCTAATCACGAAGGCAGTTGCTGAGGTGCGGGAGAAAGCCCTCATGCATGCAGAGAAGAAGCGGCAAGTGCGGAAGCGGCAAGCACCGATGAATTGTACTCCATCGACATCGAGCGCATTGTGTTGTAGAACATGCGGTCGCGAGTGCCTTAGTCAGGCAGGCCTAGTGAGCCATGAGAGAGGTCACTCGGGACCACTGCCGAAGCGACGACGGGTCCCGCAGTGAACGTAGGCAGCACCGGCGCAGCGTTTGTAGGCACGCTGAATTCGATTTACTAACCGCATGCTTGCATGCTAAGTCTCTTTATTTCAGGTGGTGGGTTTTCGGTTCTCTCCTAATGCCTTTCTTTCTCATATAAATGTCTAGTGGGCCATGAGCTAGGTCCTTTGGGGCCACTACAGAAGCGACGATGGGTCCTGCAGAGAATTACGACGAGCCGGCGCAGCGTTTGTAGGCACGCTGATTTCGATTTACTAACCGCGTGCTTGCATGCTAAGTCTCTTTATTTCAGGTGGTGGGTTTACAGTTTTTACCTTAATGCTTTTCTTTCTTATATAAATATCTCCATGTACTCTATTCCATTAACTTGCACATATCGCTTTAGCCAGTTGTATTCGATTTCCATAAGATTTTTGTGTTCGTGGCATACCGTGAACTATACTTCCTGACTTCGTGCACTTAGCTGGGATGTGTTTGTAAACAACTTATTACGTATGCTATTTAATTAAGGTTTATGTCACCGTTTCCTTATGCATTAATCCAGTTTTTCTCTTTTTCTTTCTCTCTCTCTCAAGTGATTGGCTGTTGTTTGATATCCTTGGTGTGGCTGCGCTTGATGTGCATGTTGACAAGGTGCCTACCTGTCTATTACCCACTACCTCGTCCATACTGGCTCCAGGAGACAGTTGGTCGTTGCTGGAGGGGACGGGGTGCACGGTTCTTGTGGCCGTGTTAGGCTCGAAGAGTGGTTCCATGCACTCAGTATGGAGCGGACTACGGTCCAGCCACCGCCTTGTGTGCGGTTGATTCCCCAAATACAGCGTGCTTGTGTTTGCCTGTGAAGGAGTGTGGGCCGGCTCCGTTGATGAAACGTGGTTCCCATCCACATGCCTCCCGGTCTTATTCCTTCGGGTTTACACTGGATATGGGGTGTGTGGTTGGAGCTGTGGGTGGTGCAGCGCAAGCCATCCATGGTCCCTCTGTAGGCGCAGGCGTCCTGTGGCTTGCCACAGTGACAGGCAAATCCGAAACCGGATGCCGCCAACCATGTATGTATGTGGCGGGAGAGCCTATGGTGCGCTGAGGCTGGTGGTGGCTAGATCCTGACAGATGGTCTACCCACTGCTGCTACTGTTGCGCCATAGTCTCATGTCCTGGGCGCCTCCACGTGGCGACCGCTGGGTGGGAGTTAGGTTTCGCCCTTCTCCCTGCTAAGATCCAGGACACCAATCCGCATGAGTCAGCTAACTGACCATGTGCTAGACCCGCTGCCTTTCGGGTGTTCATTTAATCGAAGGCTTTGGCTGAGGACCCGAGTCGTTCTCCTGTCAGGTGTGGGCGCCCTGGCAGTATCCTAGTCCATCCTCTCCGGAGGTTAGGAAGTGGTCGATGGCCCACTTCCCGTAAAACCTAGCCATGGGAGACAACAGGTTACGGGTTATATTCTCAATGCTCGATTGGCGTAGAGCACGAGTGCCACGCATTGTCTCTGACGGTGGGAGGACACCTCCGGGTGTTCAATGGTTTGCTACTGCCCGCCTCAAGCCAGGCAGCCCCTGGTCAAATTGGTGCAAACCCGCCAAAAACCCACCTGCGTCTGGCCGTGGTCGCAGGTGCGTATCCAATTACGGTCGCAAAACATATGATAACTGTTCCAGAACCTCAAAGGCTGCGTGTGGCGGCCGTCAAGCAGATCCCAATCTGTCTCTGCAATCACATTCCCGAGCTGGATCTGCTCCCCACTGCCTTGTGAGTAAGGCTATTGAGCCAAAGGCTCCGGGTGGAGTCCCTCAAGCAAACCTCCGAAGCACAACCACCACTTCACGTGCGATTGCCCACCAATGCAATCGTATGTCTGCGCGCAAAGCACTCAGCATCGGATGCTGGAACGTGCGCACACTACTGGACCGGAACTCCAGCGAGCGCCCGGAGCGACTCACTGCACTGGTCGCGATGGAGCTGGCGCTCTACCACATCGATATTGCGTCGCTCAGTGAAACCCGGCTCGCTGAGAAAGGTAAGTTGCATGAAGCAGGTGCTGGCTACACATTCTACTTGGTGGGCAACGCCGCCTCAGCATCAAGTGATCATGGGGTCGGATTTGCAATATCCGATCGCCTCCATGGCCAGTTGGTGTGTGAACCAACAGGCATCAGGGCGGGACTGATGACTGTTCGCCTACGACTCGGAAGAGGTAAGTTTGCCACCTTTATAGGCACGTGCGGTCCGACCATGTGTTATCCTGATGACACGCGTGATCAGTTCTACACTTAGCTATCCTCTGTGATACGGTCTGTGCCGAGGAGCGACCGAATATTTCTGCTGGGTGATTTCAACGCGCGCGTTGGGTGTGATGCATCGGTGTGGACAGATGTTATCGGTTCGCATGGCATTGGTTCAGCGAATGCGAACGGTGACAGGGTGCCCTCACTGTGTGCCACTCACGGCCTGACGATCACGAACACTCGGTTTGCACTGAGTGCGAGTGATATAGCAACTTGGACGCACCCACGGAGTGGTCACGCTCACCTGCTCGACTGTGTCATCGTACGTCAGCGTGATATGCGTGAAGTGCGCATGACACGTGTACTGCGTGGAGCTGAGTGTGGCACTGATCACAAATTGGTACGGACCAAACTGTACACATATTTTCGTAAATCTATGTATTACATTCCCGCCGTGAATCAGCG